TTACCTACATTTAAACAATCAACGCAATCCGCACGAACGTACCTGCCGCGCGCCCACATTCCCGGGAACGATCAGGCGCAGCGGGTACCCGTGGTCGCGGGGTATCTCTTTGCCGTTCATTTCGTAGGCGATGATGACCTAAAGGAGATCGATCTCGAAAAGCCAAGCAGAACTAACCTCGGAAGACATGGCTTTTTGGAAGGGGATCGAGGCGCCGTACGGCTTGCCGGCCGGGTCTACGTCGGCGCCCTAAACCCCGTGAATAGATTCGGCAGCTGAATGGCAGTACCTCAAAGTGGACGTGCTTGATTGAGGGGTCCGAGGGGTCGACCCCAGCCGTCATCAGAACGTCACGTAGGCGTACGCCCGTCCATTTTGCGCATCCAATCGCGGTGCCGGTCCACATCAGGCCCTGAACGGCCTTCTCCGCGTTCATGTCAGCACGCCGATTTCCTAAAAAAAATTTCGTTCAGCCAGCCTGGTTCTTTCGCATTATCGGGGGGGGGGGGACTTTTTGTACAAGAATAGAACTGCCTAGTCACTTAATATCCATTGTTTCATAGTGTCTATTAAGATATAACTATTTTTCAACTAGACAAATCAGCTAAAAACTACCACAAATTGAAAACTTCAAACGAAAAAGAACAAGAAATCAAAAGCCAAAAAATCGACCGTTCTTGGTCAAAAAATATTTTTTTGTTTTTGTATGTTTTAAAAGGCCGTCCGCGGGTCACTCGAACAGTCGCCATTATGACTTGGCACAGTTTTTTCGACCCCAGGTTTTTCGGTGCCATGTGAAAGAGCATGGTCGAATTAGTAGGACTGCATAGTTTTGAAAGTTTAAAAACTTTGTTTTTGGGGTTTAAATGGCCGTTAAAGTTGCGTACCCCGAAAAACTATCTCGGAGCTCACTGCACAGAACTGACTGAAACTTCGGGATAATACCTAATTTGGGGTGCTGATCATTTTTGTAATACATTGTGAAGCACGAAAATGGCCAGAACATAGGAATATCGCGTAGTCAAAACAGTTTTTTCGGGTTTTCTTTATGATGGAAAGTTTGCTGTAAGCTGAAAGTAACATCAACAGATGCGCAAAAATTTTCTGCATCGAATGGTGTATTTTTTACGATGCAGCAAATTTTCCATCATGTCGAAAAATTAGCTTTTCTAAAATCAAGAAAAACCATCGAAAAATGTATAAGAAAGCTTATTTTCCCACAGATGTAAATGGAGTCCCATATAAAAACTAGCCTAAACCAAAAGCAAAAAAGAGCAAAAAGAAATTCCCTTCCGGGGCGAAACTGGCGATTTGCCGGGATCGAACCCGCGATGGTTCGCCTGGGGGCACAGGGGACAGCCACTAGTGGGCGCCGCCAGGTCCCAGGCGAACGACCCGAGTTCAATCCCAGCCCCCTCTCAGAAGCCGAATTTCTTTTTGCTCTTTTTCGCGATCGGTATGATTTCGTCTCTAGAAATTGGGGAACGTTTTTTATATTTGCGATTTTTGAATTTTTTGAGCTGAGGCTCCGTAAATAGGATTTTTCGACATGATGGAAAACTTGCTGCATCGTAAAAAATACACCATTCGATGCAGAAAATTTTTGCGCATCTTTTGATCTTACTTTCAGCTTACAGCAAACTTTCCATCATAAAGAAAACCCGAAAAAACTGTTTTGACTACGCGATATTCTTATGTTCTGGCCATTTTCGTGCTTCACAATCTATTACAAAAATGATCAGCACCCCAAATTAGGTATTATCCCGAAGTTTCAGTCAGTTCTGTGCAGTGAGCTCCGAGATAGTTTTTCGGGGTACGCAACTTTAACGGCCATTTAAACCCCAAAAACAAACTTTTTAAACTTTCAAAACTATGCAGTCCTACTAATTCGACCATGCTCTTTCACATGGCATCAAAAAACTGGGGTCGAAAAAAACTGTGCCAAGCCTTGTTCGGACGGCTCGCAAACGGCCTTTTAACAACATTTTGCCGTTTAGAACCACGTCCACTATTTATATTTGAAAAATTAGGTCCAAAGAAAAAGATCCCCCTCCTCCCGATAATGCGAAAAACCGGCAGTCTTCCCCAAAAATTCACCAGCGCACTGCACCACCGATTTCACCGACACCGGCTCGTACTTTTGCTTCAAGTCCTCGACGCTCAGCTTGAATTTGCCTTTGACCTTTAGGCCGGAGATCTACAAGTAGTATTTCCAAATGGAAATTGAGATGTACCTCGACTCGGTGCTGCTTTTCATCAGTCTCCGGCACGGGCAGGTGATTCCGGACGAAGAATAGCTCGTTTGGCGTGAGGAAGGCGTCCATGAGCAGAGCAGGCGGGGACTCGGCATTGAAGGGTTTCTGAATTCTCGTATTGCTTAAATTTCCCGAAGCTTACGTTCGAGTTGACGAGTAGTGCTGGGTGGCGCGCCGGGTCCTTGGCAAATGGGTCGTTCGCGTCGGCTTTTGGAGCCTGAAAACTAGCCGTTAGTTACCGGAGCATTTTTGGACCTACATTTTTCAAATCCTCCTCGTCGACGTTCCCGATGCGCATCGGCTCCAAAATCTCCGCAACCTCCTTCGTTTTGTGCTGCGCGTAGATGGCCCAGAAGGGTTCTACTGATCCACCGGCGGCCAAGAGTATCTGAATTTTGTGCGTCAAGTGCCGAAGACCCGATGTACCTTATCCCCTCCCGGGTGGTTTTCCACAAATTCAGTAACGTCGTAGACACCATTCTTGTACATGATCCATATTCTCGGCGCCTCCTTACCGTGCTTTTTCACCTAAATCTAGAGAATAGCATGACTAAACGCAGGCTGTCGAATACCTCGTCAATTTTGAAGACGGGTAGATCTTTCCGCAGCGGGGGCGCAAAATCATAATCTGCTGCCCGGGCCATCGGGTTCATTTGCTGGGGTCGTGTTTGGTCGAAGATGTAGCCGCCGAGGAGCAGCGCCGACGCGCCGCCCACCGCACCCAGCCAATAGCCGGGCTTTTGGCGTTCTAAAACAGAATGTCTCGCTCGTAAAATTTGCTACCTGTATGTAGCTCTCTTCTGAGCGCCAGCCTCATCCTCCCCATCGCCAGCCTCCCGGGAAATCGGGGCATCATCTTGGGCGCACTAAATCTTTATTTTCATCAAGAAAAAACATCAACAAAACGGTGATCTGAACTAATGTGCTAGAGGATATCAAATAAGAGCGCGGAAATACATGAGAAGAACCGAAAATTCAAAAACGATAAGGATCGAAGGATGAAGGCGCGATCAAATTCACATATGGTTCAATCTGAACGAGTGGGCATTGGGTCCCTGCATTATCGGGGGAGGGGGGATTTTCTCAAGATCCAATATGCGGAATTATTTCAAAACTGTTTTTTTTGCCATTCCAAAAATTAAAAATCTACACCTTTTTTTAAATGCGAAAATATAGATTTTGCGATTAAAAAAATGTAGATTTTTTTGAAGTTTTTAGATAGGTTTTCTAGTTGAAATATAGTTTTATCCTCTTCAAAACATTATTTTAATGCTTCCAAACCCCCCGTCCCCTCGATAATGTTAAGGACAGAACAGGGATCTAGATTCTTCGGATTTTCCGCGGGCGCGGGCCCAGCTCCTTGATCGGCGTGTAGTCGGTGATGGAAACGACGTTGACTCCGGCCACTGTCAATCCTTTTACTGCTGTCATCCGCCCAGGTCCGATCCCCTTCACCTGCACGCGGACGTTCCGGATCCCGCGTCTCACAAGACGTTGACCGGCGGCCACTCCCGTCGTCTGGCCCGCAATCGACGTCTTCTTGCGGGCATTTTTGAAGCCTTCAAGTCGGCAAGACGTATACATCAGCACATCTCTGGATTTGGCATCGATCGCTTGCACCAGTGTGTTATTTTTGGTGGCCTTGACATAGACGGTGGGCAGATCGGCGTAGGGGATCCCGTTGAATTCCTGAAATCGATAAATTAATACGTTCTTTCGCATTATGGGCGGATCAACTTTTTTCTAAGGGTCCCAATTTTCGGAACATAAATATAAGGAGTGTGTCTAAACAGTTTTTGACTATTCCTAAACGTAAAAACTTTACAAATTGGACTATAAATACAAAAAATGACGATATTTCGACAAAAATTTACCTAATTTTTTGTTTTCACACAGAATATCGTTAAGGGTGACTAAGATTATTAAAATAATTACTATCAGGTTACTAGGGATTTTTGGAATCATCGAGAAAAAATTGGTTTTCCCACCTGCTTTAGCGTCTCTGGAGTCGGCAGTCGTTGCGAGAAATCGCGTATGCTGACGGGGACGGCAGCGTTAGAGCCGGTAGTGCCCTCAAAAACTTCCTTCTGTTCGGGGGAGAGCTTCGTGCCGGCTCGCTGCTCGTCGCGAATACTTCTGGCCAAAACGGAGGTCGTCGACACGCTTCTAAGGGCGACGGGTGGCAGAGCAGCGGAGCAGCTGGGCATCGCCAGGCGACGAAATGCCGACAGCGTAGACTTGAGCAATGTCGTCGTCATCGGGCGGGCTGCTGAAACAGATCACTAGAGATGGAAAATGCCCAAAAACAAAGAGACAAGGTGCAATACAGAGCATAGAATGACACGTTAATGTTTTAGCATGAAAAATCACTGGCTCAAGGCGCCGTTGCTTCTCTAGAGGTCACAAAATATGGTTAATAACTATCTATATTTTTATTTATGACTATTTTGGAGTAAATTGTATTTAGAAAGTTTCCAAACAAGATTAACGCGCACGTGAAACGAGATTTTGATATGATAAATATGGGGCGGCGAGAGCGCAGAAAGTCCGAGCGTCATTAGTAGCGTACGGAATCGCGCTCGGGTACAAATTGTAAAGAGGAAAGATAGGAATGTTAAAGTATATAATAACAAAAAGCTTAAATAATAGCACAAAAATAATGCAATCATTTAGGATTGGACGGAGTCTGTGGTGTGCAATGCGACGTGCGGTCGCTGCGGGGTCCAGACGCTGACCCGAACCTGTATGACTGGATGTACTTGCAAGTGCGTTCATAAACTATGATACATAAAAGTAAAGTAAAAATACGTAAAAATAGCTCATAAATAAAGATTCTACTCCATTATCGGGGGGGGGGGACAAAATATAAATAGCGTAAGTGTTAAACTGTGCTCTTACTATCCCCAACCGTAAAAATTGTACAAATTATGGAAAATGGAAAATATAGAAAAGCCCCCCCCCCCAATAGTGGAAAAGAACCTAAATAAACCGGAAACGTACAACGATAATCTTTTAGGGGAAAGCTGACCAAGACGGCCAGCTGCCCGCTGAACCCCTGCACCTTCCCGGACGCGCCGTGCTGCGGCACCTTCCAGAAAACGGCCGACGTCGAGACGCGCCGGTTACTCTTTGAATACGATCCGGAAATGGCTAAAAAATACCGTCCAGCTTGTTTGACACTATTTTTCAGATATTCCTGCTACGATCCGACGCAACGAACGAACGCGAAGAAGGCACGCGACAACTACATGAAGTCGCGCAAGAGCCGCAAGACGACCCGCCATCAGGAGAACTGAAGCCTTCGGGCTCCCCCGGCGTGAAATACCAACGATAAAGCACTTGTTAATACACATAACTGTTGTTTCACATAAATACAAGCAATAAAATTGCACAGTTTTATTAAACAATATACAAAACATATCGATTTTTCGAACAATATCCCCGTTTTTACCAAAATTTTAGCTTTTTCAAAATCTTTTGGATAGTTTTTACTTTGAAAAATAGTGAGATTTTCTAAAAACGTTGTCAGAATACTTTCTGTCATGCCAAGAGGCATTTCACGTCGTTCTAGCGTTGTTTTCTCGGGCCTGGCTAGCTAGCAAAGATTTGTGGGGAATTTTTCATATACAGGGTGTCCCAAAAAAAAAAACCCCCAAAAATTTGATGCAGAGGGCACCTAGAGAGCTGAAAATTTGCACAGAGGTAGCGAAGGCAATTTTCTATGAACAAGGAAAGTTTCAGCCCGATCGGCCAGCGGGTTTTAAAGCTATAGCGAAAATACTTTTCATTTTTAATTTAATATGGGGATCTTTGAAATTTGCATCAAAGATATGCGTTATTCTTGCATTTACGAGCCGATTTTGCATAAATTTTGCTGAAAAGTGCCATTTTCTTGATGGAGCTTTTGGAAAACGATTGCGTATGAAGAATAAAAAGAGTGTTAAAACAACTGTTTTATCGATCCAAATCACGTCTTATTGTACATTTTGGCAATTTGAGCTTCGTCGGCCCGAAAACGAGTTCGACGAGCTCGAAAACAGTGATGAAGTTTAGATTTGGGCTTATGTTGGCACGTACGCTGAAGTTTAAGCCAAGCTCAAGCGTTCAACGATAGTTTCCGCCATGAGGGCTGGTATTCATCGTTCTTGCTGATCATTTTCTCGCTACATCGGCAATCGTTTTCCAAAAGCTCCATCAAGAAAATGGCACTTTTCAGCAAAATTTATGCAAAATCGGCTCGTAAATGCAAGAATAACGCATATCTTTGATGCAAATTGCAAAGATCCCCATATTAAATTAAAAATGAAAAGTATTTTCGCTATAACTTTAAAACCCGCTGGCCGATCGGGCTGAAACTTTCCTTGTTCATAGAAAATTGCCTTCGCTACCTCTGTGCAAATTTTCAGCTCTCTAGGTGCCCTCTGGCTCAAATTTTTGGGGGGTCTTTTTTTTTGGGACACCCTGTAAATTATGGCATTTTAAACATTATTAAAAATTATTACAATTATAACGATTGAAAAATTTCCCCCAATCAATCCAGTGCCGTGCCGGCGTCGCCTGTTCAAATACGCAGCCAGACTGGTGCGTCCTACCCTCCAATGTTTCAACATTCCACGCCTGCCGGAATCGAAATGTGGTGCTTGCTGTCGTTATATTTTTGTGGGTTTTAATCAATCATTTCTAGTTTTGGAGCTGGCATTGAACCTAAGCCTAAGCCTAAGCCTAAGCCTAAGCCTAAGCCTAAGCCTAAGCATAAGCCTAAGCCTAAGCCTAAGCCTAAGCATAAGCCTATGCCTAAGCCTAAGCCTAAGCCGAAGCATAAGCATAAGCCTAAGCCTAAGCCTAAGCCTAAGCATAAGCCTATGCCTAAGCCTAAGCCTAAGCCGAAGCATAAGCATAAGCCTAAGCCTAAGCCTAAGCCTATGCCTAAGCCTAAGCCTAAGCCGAAGCATAAGCCGAAGCATAAGCATAAGCCTAAGCCTAAGCATAAGCCTATGCCTAAGCCTAAGCCTAAGCCGAAGCATAAGCATAAGCCTAAGCCTAAGCCTAAGCCTAAGCCTAAGCCTATGCCTAAGCCTAAGCCTAAGCCGAAGCATAAGCATAAGCCTAAGCCTTTTTTACAGTTTTTCGCCTCTCGCTGTCTGACGAGATCCCTTGCCAAGAGCAGTATACGGTGGGATTTGAAGAAAAATCTCTGAAGCCAGAGTCTGTGTAGGACTGGATCGTCATCGAGCCGTGCACCGCGGAATGTGGGCGCTGCGGGCTGGAGCTGTCCGTCAGGAGTTGTTTCGAGGAATGCGAGTGCAAGTGAGTTTTTTTCCTAAGGGATCTCTGCTAGCCCGCCTTGATCCCTATTTAGCGGGCCGTTCTACCGTAACATCACATGTCCCAAGCGGCACTGTCTACACCCAAAGCCGGCATGTTGCGAGGGTTTCGTACGTGTGGTGAATCCGGCCACGAAGAGGTTAGTGAGGCTTAGGCTTGGCTTAGGGCTGGCTGGCTTTGGATTCGTTTAGCGTCACGCTTAGGCTTATTTTTAGGCTTAGGCTTAGGTTTAGGTTTAGGTTTAGGCTTGGCTTAGGGGCAGGCTTCGGCCTCGTTTAGAGGCTTGGCTTAGGGGCTGGCTTCAGCCTCGTTTAGCGCTAGGCGTAGGCTTAGGCTTAGGCTTACGCTTATGCTAGGCTTAGCTTAGGCCAGGCTTAGACTTCGGCTTAGGCCAGGTTGAGGCTTCGGCTTAGGATTAGGCTTAGGCCAGGCTTAGGCTCAGGCTCAGGCTTAGGCTTAGGCTCAGGCTTTTGTTAAAGCGCATTTCAATAGGATCACTTCGGTTTGAATAGAATTTATTCAAATATGGCAATTTCACAGGTACGAATGCGCAAGCCCGGAGGAAAAGCAGCAGCTCGTCGACGACAAGAAAAAGAACCGGGCCGAGGATTTGTAGAGGGTTTTTCTACAGCATAAAGGTATTTATAGGAACGAATACAGTATATAAACAGTTTTGCATCACCGAGATCACATTTCTGAAAGCGAGAGGCAGCAATGTGCAAATAATTCCCCCGCAAAAATCGGTTGTTTTGGGAGGCGTAGCTACTGCTTGAAGAATTCTGAAACATATGGATGTAATTTTTTTTCGTAAAAATTTACCTGTCCCAAACGGCAAATCGTCGTGCAGCATCGAGATCGAAGGAATCACCGGAAGTTTCACTAAAACCATTAGGCCTTTAGAAGGTGTTTCTGAGCGCTCTACCTCCTCCCCTCAACGCGCTGCCGCGCGGGCTCGGCCGTTTGGCGATGATCTAGGAGCATAAGGTCGATTAGAAAACTGTCCTACCACCACCGGTTTCATTTGGCTCTTCAGGAAGGCCTCGGAGCCGTTGAGGATCGTTTTTTGATAGATGGTGAGTTCCTGAAATGAAATAGTTCTGGGGAAAAAGATATCCATCTCTCTCTCTCTCTCTCTCTCTCTCTCTCTCTCTCTCTCTCTCTCGCGCTCGCTCGCTCTCTCACTCTCTAGCACTCTCTCGATCTCTCGCTCTCTCTCTCTCTCACTCACTCTCTCTTTCTCTCACCTGCTGCAACTCCGGCACATCGACGATCAGGAATTTATCTTCAGTTGTTGGAACCTTCAAGGGCTTTCCAACTTTTCCGGAATTCTCCTCCGATCGGCTCGGAATTTTCGAATCCGCTGCTTTTCGATCTACAGTACTCTGCTGGGATACTGTAGCTTTCGACACCACATTTCCCGTATTTTTCTTGAGTTCTGGCAGTTTTTTCGAGTGTCCCATCGCTTCCGGAAGTTTATCGGCCGGTTTTGTGCCGGTTACCGTAATCCTTGGGGCAACGGTAGGAGGTATCGGAATTTTTTGAGGTGCGCCAGCCACTACCGTACCCCTTCCCGCCGGTTCGACTTGAATTTTTCGTACCACCGTAGCCTCGTCGCGCCGGGACCCAATCAGGGTTTTTTCGGCCGAAGCCTTCAGCGATGTTCGCTCGGCTACCGTAGCCGTTTCTACGCGGGCTACCGTACCACCTTCTTTGCGGGACCCCGCTGTACGGCTTGAAGATGTGCCATCGACCAAGTGGATTGGCAGAGCCGGGGAGTTCGGCTTTCGGACCAGTATAAAGCGCTGCGGCTCGCTGCGTCGGGTCCCGGCTGGAATTGCTGGCACCGGGCCAAGTGGCTGAAATATAAGGATTTGGGCTAAAAACCAATTTTTTGGATCGGGACAGGCTAGCAGAGCTCGTTTGTAAAGGATGACCGGCTAGCAGAGAACATTTGCAAGGGAGGGCAGGCTAACAGAGATCATTTAACCCCCATATCTTTCCATTAATGCGTCACCACTTTTTGACTCTTGTCAGCCTGGATTTGGCCCACCACGGTACCACCAAAGAGTACGCCAATTTCCAGACAATGCCCCTTTGTTCCATTCCAATCGTTCCCGACGTCCCCCGCCCTGTTTTTCCCCGGCTCAAAACATGGGGGGGAACTACGCGACGCACCTGTGGACGCAGGCCGATTTGTGGTGGCTGGAATGACGGCAGAGAGGGCGGATTTTGGAGAAAAGGAGCCGATTGGAACTGCGGGAAGAAGTTGGGCCTGGAAGCGGTTTTAAGTTGCTCAAGCCTAAGCCTAAGCTTATGCCTAAGCAAAGCCTAAGCCTGAGACTACGCAGAACGCACCTAAAGGCTTGGCGCGGGACGACGAATTTTTGCTCTGCCAACTGAGTGAGGTCGAGCCGGAGGGCGAGAGCTGGAAAAGAGTGTGAGCAGAGTTCATGGGGCAGGCTAGCAGAGATTGTTGAGGAAGAGAAGAGGGCAGACTAGCAGAGATTGTTGAGGAAGAGGAGAGGGCGGGCTAGCAGTGATTGTTGAGGAAGAGGAGAGGGCAGGCTAGCAGAGATTGTTGAGGAAGAGGAGAGGGCAGGCTAGCAGAGATTGTTGAGGAAAAGGAGAGGGCAGGCTAGCAGAGATTGTTGAGCAAGAGGAGAGGGCAGGCTAGCAGTGATTGTTGAGGAAAAGGAGAGGGCAGGCTAGCAGAGATTCTTTAGGAACCAAATTCTCACCTTCATTCCAGCAAGTGAGCAGCAATAAAACGGTCCAAAAATTCCGCATCAATCCGCCATCATCCCGGGTGGTGGCCATAGAATTTGTGCGAACCGTTCATCGGGCCAGGGCGACTGAGCAACCTAGCAGGGATTGCTTAGGAAAGGGCAGGCTAGCAAGGATCATTGGGGAAAGCGAGAAACCGGTATACACAATTCCGAGGGAGTACTGGGAACCAGAAAGTAACAAGTGGGGGGGTAAAAAGCAGGAAGGAGAAATCGAGGCGTCGCGCGGGGGGGGTTAGGCCTGGCTGATTGGTAGTACAGGAGGGCAGCGCGTAGTTTGTACCTTAGCATGTGAAAGGCTCTCTTACATTATCGGGGGGGGGGGGGGAATCAGGAACTGTTTCTGATTCAAAAATAAAAACACCTCCTTTTTGGACCAAAAATGGCTTTTTGAGCATAATTTCACAATTTTAAAAAGTTTTTTAGGACATTAAATTAGTGTTATTTCACCAAAAACACTATAACACCACTTGCTTTTAAGTTCTAAGAATTTTACAAAAAGTTCGTCCTTCCCCGATCATGCGAAAGGGCCGAAATAATTCAAAAAAATTTAAAATAAAAACTACGGAAGCTAAAACGCTAAAAAATTTGGATAAAAAGAGCATAACGATAAATCTTTGAAAAAGTGGCATTTCAGCTGATCTATCCGTCCAGGGGCGGCATCAAATGAGATGAGGGAAATGGTCTGTCTCTCTCCCTCTCACTCTCTCGCTCTCTCTCTCTCTCTCTCGCCGCAAAGGTGTGATAAAGCCGTGTGAGCGGGATTCCCTTTTCTTTTCCCCGAAAAAATTGCTCACCATGATGGATGTCACAGGGGGGGATGGTGCTCGAAATTTCCGCCACACGCTCAGCCCCCCTTCAAGGACAAAGCGATTTTGGGAACAAGACGGCAAAGCGGGGCGCAAAAAGATGAGTTTTCCAGGTAGCGAAAAGCTGAGGGTGGCTTTCGGAACTTATCATTTAGCGGGGGGACCTAGAGGGAGTCTAATTTTCATTTTGGCGTTCGCGGCGGGGAGCTTTTCGGAAGAGAGGTGAGAGGGAGAGAGAGAGGAGAGAGAGAGAGAGAGAGAGAGAGAGAGAGAGAGAGAGAGAGAGAATGAGCGCGCTAGGGATAGATAGAAGCTCAAATTATCTCCGCTAGTTTGCTCCAAATTCTCGAGGTAAGCAGGCTAGCAGAGATCTTTTGATGAGGCGGGATAGGGAGAGAAAGGGAGCCAGCAATTGCGAGAGATAGAGAGAGAGAGCGAGAGATAGAGAGAGCGCGAGAGAGAACGGGAGAAAGAGAGAGGATGGGAGAGAGAGAGCGATAGAGAGCGAGAAAGGGAGTGAGAGAGATTGAATGGCTCAAATTGTCTCCGCTAGCTTGCCATCAAGTCTCGAAGCATGCATAGTAGCAGAGATCTTTTGATGAGGCGGGAGAGAGCGAATGAAAGAAGGGGGAGGGAGAGGGAGAGGGAGAGGGAGAGGGAGAGGGAGAGAGAGAGAGAGAGAGAGAGAGAGAGAGGGAGAGAAAGAAAGAGAGGGATAGATAGTGATCGTTGTAAACTCCTCTATAGTTTTCGTTTTTACCATCCCATTCAATCCACTATCTGATTCGTAATCGTAATCCCAGTGGCCCCCCACTGACGCATCAGACCCCGAAAAAGTGGAATAATGCCTCCGTGAAGATGAGAAATTAGAATAAAGGACGCCCGGCCAATACTTATTGTTTTTTGCCCGCATTTAGGGACCAACGTCGGGGAGTATCGGGGCCAACACCCAGGCCATTGTTATGCCAAAATCTGAATTCCGCCGCCGTCAAATCCGCCCTTTGAGATTATGGTATAAATACGGGGCTTTCATAACGGCGCCCGGAAGCTTTTTGGGGTTGACTGTAGGGTCTCTCTCATTACCCAAAACTGAAGCCTAAGCCTAAGCCGCCTAAGCCTAAGCCTCCCTCACTCTCGCGCCCTTTCCCTTGCTACAATCTCCCCAATCTAGGATGGTCCTCGCCGCCAACGTGGTCCTCTGCGTCAATTCCGTCATCGGCTACACGTGCAATGGGACGCTGATCTATCTGATCGTCAAGAATCCGAAAAGCCAGATGGGTAATTATCGCTATTTGATGCTGCTGCTGGCCTTATTCAACATCCTCTACGCGTCCGCCCATCTGCTGGTGATCCCGGTCAGTCCGATACCCAAAGGTTCTCTGCTAGCCTGCCCTCTCCTCTTCCTCAACAATCTCTGCTAGCCTGCCCTCTCCTCTTCCTCAACAATCTCTGCTAGCCTGCCCTCTCCTCTTCCTCAACAATCTCTGCTAGCCTGCCCTCTCCTCTTCCTCAACAATCTCTGCTAGCCTGCCCTCTCATCGTCAACATTTGCAGGTCACCTATATCCATGGTTTTGCCTTCTGCTTCTACTCCTCGTCCTTTATAGCAGGCTATAAGTACAGTAAGTTTTTACTATCGACTTCCGGCATATCACATAGCTGGGTCCGATGTCCGCCCGAAAACATTCCCTAGTAAGTAGGCAAGCAGAGAGTATTCAGAGGGGAGTATGCTAGCAGGGATAATTTAGTAGCTTCAAGCCGCTTCTTTAGTTGGATATGGCGCTCTCCTCGGCTACTGCTCCCTCTTCGCCCAATCGACAATCCTGCTCGCCTACCACTTCATCTACCGCTACGCCTGCATTTGCAAGTACTGTACCTCCTACTGCGCGGCTCGGCCTCGTCCTTTTTTCTAAACACTGAGCACCATTCCAGACCCAACTGGCTGACGCTGATCCACAAGAAGCGCGTCATCGCGCTGCTCGGCATGGCCTATCTCGGCTATTTTGGGCTCTGGGTCGTGTTTGTGCACAGCTTTATTGGTGAGTTTTTGCTGAGTGTGGGAAGAGGGCAGGCTAGCAGGGATCTTTGGGGAAGCCCTCGAGCCGCACCCTTTCAGGCCCGACCCCCGAATTCTTCGACCGGATCAACGAGGGGCTGCACGCGTTCTCCGGGCTCTACCCGAACGAGACGGCCATCATTGGGGACAATTATTTGGTGTGGTTTCAGGGGGACCTAAAGGCTGGCTAGCAGAGTTTGTTGAGGAAAAGGAAAGGGCAGGCTAGCAGAGATTGTTGAGGAAGAGGAGAGGGCAGGCTAGCAGAGATTGTTGAGGAAGAGGAATGGGCAGGCCGGCAGAGATTGTTGAGGAAGGGGAGAGGGCAGGCTAACAGAGATTGTTGAGGAAGAGGAAAGGGCAGGCCGGCAGAGATTGTTGAGGAAGAGGAGAGGGCAGGCTAGCAGAGATTGTTGAGGAAGAGGAAAGGGCAGGCTAGCAGAGATTGTTGAGAAAAAGGAGAGGGCAGGCTAGCAGAGATTGTTGAGGAAAACGTTTAAAATTTCAGATCCGTGACACCACCGGTCTGCACTTCAACATGCGCCCTTGGATTGCTCTTGCTGCCTGCATGACCATGATGAGCTCGATGTTCTGTGGTACGGATCACGAATTCCCCCCCCGCCTGCTGCCTTCCGCTAGACGGCAAATTACACCCACACTTTTTAGTGATCTTCGTGTGCGGCTGGAAGATGCACGAAAAGCTGAGGAGCGCCGAGATGAGCAGCGTCCGCGGGTACCGACTGCAGAAGCAGCTCTTCCAGGCACTAATGATACAAGTAAGTCTTTGCAGACTACGCATCAACACGCGGTCGTAGTTTATCGTGCCCATCATCCTCGAGTACATCCCATGCACATCCATCTTCCTGGTGCCGATGCTCGGGGAGGAGGTCAACCTGGAATGGGCGACGATGTGCATCTCACTTTATCCCATCTTCGAGCCGCTAGCTGTCATCTATTTCGTGAAGGTCGGAGCCGCCTAAACTATCGCTGCTAGCCTGCCCTCTCCTCTTCCTCAACAATCTCTGCTAGCCTGCCCTCTCCTCTTCCTCAACAATCTCTGCTGGCCTGCCCTCTCCTCTTCCTCAACAATCTCTGCTAGCCTGCCCTCTCCTCTTCTTCAACAATCTCTGCTAGCCTGCCGTTTCAGGAATACCGCCTAACGCTCCGTCGCGCCATCTTCGGCACGTCGGCTCGCGGATCTTCCGTTTCCACGACAGCTGAAGTGACCAACCAGGTAAAAAACCAAAAAAAACGTTGACGCACTTTTTAGCACTCCAACAGCGACTCGCAGATGAACAGCTCGACGACGAAGAAAAGCCAGAATTAAGAAAACATCCTAAATGTATGCAAAATTGCAATGAAGCAAATAAACGCACTAAACGTGTCCTATTTCCCTAATAATTTCTGCTAGTCTGCCCCCCAGATAATATCCAATCCGCACGGCCCTCCACCAATCCTTGGCCGAACAATTGGCTTTCCGCGGCGGCTACGAAAGCTGTTTTGCCGCCTCAATGGTAGCCGTTTCTGACGCAGATACGTATTTACGTATTTATACGTATTTTCTTAGCCACGAAATTCCTCAAAATAAAAACCCCACATCATCCTGGCTCCATACCAAAAAAAAAACTTTTTACAAAATAAATTAATTTTACAAATATAAATAGTGAAAGTCTTTCTAAATGGTTTTTACTATTACTAAACGTGAAAAGTTTACAAATTTTTATAGGCACAAAAGTATTTTTAAAAAAATGGAATTTTCGAGAAAAAACATAGATTCTGAGCAAATTCCGATTTTTTAAAGTTTTTAGATAGTTTTACTAGTTGAAATATAGTTATATATTACTAAAAACGCTATTCAAACATTTTCTATTAACTTAGAGGCATTTCTAGACGTATACAAAAAAGTCCCCACCCCCCCGGATAATGCGAAAGAACCCCCACTTTCCCCACAAATCCCATCCCATCACATCCAGACATCCATTACCATCTCTGCCCATCGCTGTTAGTAGAAAAATCCCGAAAACCCCCTAATTATTCGCCCCCCGCGGGCCCATGAAAATTTGATGAAATGTGATGGGGAGAAGCGTGTGTTTCGTTTCCCAACCCGGTCGCTTCCACCCCTCCATTTCAGTCGTGCGTCATTTTTCCGGAAGCACACGATGTGTTCCTGGATCTTTAAATGAGAAATCACTTCTCAAAAGGTCCCTGCTAGCCTGCCCTCTCCTCTTCCTCAACAATCTCTGCTAGCCTGCCCTCTCTTCTTCCTCAACAATCTCTGCTAGCCTGCCCTCTCCTCTTCCTCAACAATCTCTGCTAGCCTGCCCTCTCTTCCTCCTCAACAATCTCTGCTAGCCTGCCCTCTCCTCTTCCTCAACAATCTCTGCTAGCCTGCCCTCTCTTCCTCAACAACTCTGCTAGCCTGCCCTCTCTTCTTCCTCAACAATCTCTGCTAGCCTGCCCTCTCCCCTTCCTCAACAATCTCTGCTAGCCTGCCCTCGCTTCTTCCTCAACAATCTCTGCTAGCCTGCCCTCTCCTCTTCCTCAACAATCTCTGCTAGTCTGTCCTCTCCTCTTCCTCAACAATCTCCGCTAGCCTGCCCTCTCTTCTTCCTCAACAACTCTGCTAGCCTGCCCTCTCCTCTTCCTCAACAATCTCCGCTAGCCTGCCCTCTCTTCTTCCTCAACAATATCTGCTAGCCTGCCCTCTCTTCCTCAACAACTCTGCTAGCCTGCCCTCTCTTCTTCCTCAACAATCTCTGCTAGCCTGCCCTCTCCCCTTCCTCAACAATCTCTGCTAGCCTGCCCTCTCTTCTTCCTCAACAATCTCTGCTAGCCTGCCCCTCTCCCCTTCCTCAACAATCTCTGCTAGCCTGCCCTCGCTTCTTCCTCAACAATCTCTGCTAGCCTGCCCTCTCCTCTTCCTCAACAATCTCTGCTAGTCTGTCCTCTCCTCTTCCTCAACAATCTCCGCTAGCCTGCCCTCTCTTCTTCCTCAACAACTCTGCTAGCCTGCCCTCTCCCCTTCCTCAACAATCTCTGCTAGCCTGCCCTCTCTTCTTCCTCAACAATCTCTGCTAGCCTGCCCCTCTCCCCTTCCTCAACAATCTCTGCTAGCCTGCCCTCTCCTCTTCCTCAACAATCTCTGCTAGCCTGTCCTCTCCTCTTCCTCAGCCATCCCTGCTAGCTAGCCGGCCCCCTGAAACTTGCTCTGGCCCTCCCCTGGGACGCTAATAATTAGCATTCTGCTGAAGGAGCTACTACCAGACAAAAGCCGCCACAAAACAATTTACGCGAGTGCAGGCATCTCTTCTTTTTTTCTTTTCATTTTCGCTCTTCAAAAATAGTAGCTCCGAGCTGTTTGAGAAACATCGGGATGGCGCCGAAACTGCTGCCGCTGCTCTGTCTGCTCGTGCTCTGCCTAGGTGCGTTATTTTAGGGGTTCTAAAGTGTATCCTTGGGGCGCCTATGTAAAGAAAAATGGCAGAAAAGACAAGAGCTGGAAAAAAACCGGAAATTTCGCAACTTTTAGCAGCAGCCTCGGCCTTCAACTGTTGCTACCTGCGCTCGGGAGGTCGAGTGTTGTACGTTTGCAGTGATATTTGCTACGGTGGGTGTATTCTCGCTCTCTCTCTCTCTCTCTCTCTCTCTCTGTCTCTCTCTCGCCTCAAAAATCGCGCAAATTTTCCAGATTTCGACGACGGCTTCATGCCACGCGAGAAGGTGCCGGTGTACAATCTGTTGCGCTAGAATAAACCGGCACTGTTATGTGCAACCGTTTATGTTAGTCGACAGCAAGTTTCGGGGGCAATGGCAAGGGCAAGTAGTGCCCAAAAATGGGGCAGAATCATTCGAGTAATCACACAAATAAACGTGAGCACAAAATGCATTCAAAACGGAGATCAGTGGCGTTTCTGGATGCAAATCGAACGGCATACGTCAACTCAAGCAACACGTTTAAACTGAATACCTTCCCTCCCCTCTTCCTCAACAATCTCTGCTAGCCTGCCCTCTCCTCTTCCTCAACAATCTCTGCTAGCCTGCCCTCTCCTCTTCCTCAACAATCTCTGCTAGCCTGCCCTCTCCTCTTCCTCAACAATCTCTGCTAGCCTGCCCTCTCCTCTTCTTCAACAATCTCTGCAAGCGACGAGCCCGGTTCTGGTTCATTATCGGGGGGTGGGTGGGGGGGGGGGGCATCGTTTGTCAAAAGCTTCTCTTGTCTTAAATTATTTGAGCTGTATATGAAACTCTTAGCATGTTTTTGGGGCTCTACCGGGTCGCGATCATTTGAAAAAGCTACGACATTAAACTTCCCGAAAATAAACCCCCCCCACTAACGATCCAGAACCGTCCACACGCGTGATCGGTCTAAAAAATGTTCTTATGCAGCTCTGAATTTTTTATTCTTATTAAACGGGCATTTCGGTGTCGATGGAGTAATGGGAGTGCAGTGTTGCGGATGAATCCCATCGAAGTCCTATGGCATCTTTGGGCCCGGTCATTCGTTCCGACTCCGAACTGGCTAGCCGCCATGGAGACTGAATCGTTTTTTTCCGCACACGCAATAATAGAGGGTCATTTTGCATTATCGGGGGGTATTAGGGAACGGAGAATTTTTCCTTTAGTACCCAGTTTTTTTAAATATAGTAAGACAGTGTTTCTAAACCGTTTTTCACTATTCCTAAGCGCTAAAACTTGATAAATATTTATGAAAACAAACAAAAAATATCGATATACCGACCAAATTTCCGGTTTTCGACCAAGGTTTGAATTTTTTAAAGTTTTGCTAATTTTTTTGAAGAGTTTTTACTTCAAAAAAAGAGTTAAATAGTACGATCAGCACTATTAAAATGATTATTATTACGTTATAAGGCGCTTCCGGACCTAGATTATGTTTGTGAGTTAGCGAAAATTTCTGGATTTGAAAATAATTTGGTGGTCCCTGGAAACCCCCCGATAATGCGAAAGCACCAGGCACCGAGATACCTGCTGGACAAGATGTTTTGAGTGTCGTGAGGGGTAGTTTTGTGCGAGAATAATCCGTATTCCTGTCTGCATCGAGTGTAACCATACAAACCTTTCATTAGTTTCCACGCCACCGTTCCCATCGACATATAGCTGAAAATAAATCACTATAATATTGTATATACCAGGGCGGAAATACTGTACAGGGTGGTGCAAAAGCTCCTGGACTTAAAGGGAGCCTCGCTGATGGCTTTAGATACCTCCCCGAGCCAAAACACCCCTTAAAAAACTACTTAGATACCTTCCTGGTGGCTTTAGATCCCTCACATACGCGAAATCCCCTTAAAAAACGAAACCAACGTCCGAACCGGGTTACATGAGGTAGCAAAAAAAACTGAAATGACTCCGGTGAAAATGTTCAGCCCGCTGCGACACGAAACGCGCGCGACCTGGCAGTACACTCTGTGGAAAAACTATGAGACCAGTCGATTTTCGGCTGTAACTTTTCCCCGAATCAAGCAACCATCTTGATATTTATAATCTAGGTTTCATTTAGTATAAGAAACCTGCATGGAAAAACTCAAGCGGATCCGATGCGCGCAAGGTAGTGTTTCGAAAAATTGACCACCTGAACTTGTAGAAAAACTATGAGACCAGGTTTTGTATTGGACTCTAAGAGTTTCCCCTGGTCTTTACTTGCCCTGTTTTTTATGGAAAACGTTTAATTTAACCCAAAACTATACGTTTTCGTCATTGTTTATGTTTCTGCTACCCATATAAATTTTTTCAAAAAATCGATTTTTACATAGAAATTAGCTTTTAATAAAATTTCTCTGCCAAATAAATTGTATTTCAAAATTTAAGAAATACCATCCTGAAGAGCACGACTTTATGCACATTTTGGTATACAAAACTTTTTCGGCAGAGGCCCAATAAGCAATATTTCGCACTTGCAATTTGCGACTCTGCGGCTCTTTGTTAAAATGCCAAGCAAATGGATGGCAACCTCGAGGACTTCCCACATCGACGTGTAGTTTCCCCATACTGGCCTGTATAGTCAAGTGGTGCCTACCAAAATGTTCGTTAAGTCGTGCTCTTCAGGATGGTCGTTCTTAAATTTTGAAATACAATTTATTTGGCAGAGAAATTTTATTAAAAGCTAATTTCTATGTAAAAATCGATTTTTTGAAAAAATTTATATGGGTAGCAGAAACATAAACAATGACGAAAACGTAGTTTTGGGTTAAATTAAACGTTTTCCATAAAAAACAGGGCAAGTAAAGACCAGGGGAAACTCTTAGAGTCCAATACAAAACCTGGTCTCATAGTTTTTCTACAAGTTCAGGTGGTCAATTTTTCGAA